TTTCTTCTTGCAAATCTTTTTTTGTCAACTTAAATCAACTTTGTAGGTAAATATAATTGATTTTGCAAATAGTCGATCTAAAAAATTTCTATAATTTATAGAATAAAGCTTCTTATAAAAGTCACAACACAGTAAGTGATCCATTTAGAATAAAATAGTGTCTTAAAATTAATGATCCATTTCAATTTTTAATGTAAAATTTTCCAATTTTATCCTTTAATTAATATTACTTTCATCATTCCTAATACATGATAAGGGTATTATAGTAAAAATAACATTATTTCTCATTTATTTTTATTTTTTTAATATGTGAGAAATGATTTAGCACATAATCAAGCATATATACCTTTGATTTTTCAAATATAAATAATAAAACTCCTTTTTTTCTACAACTTCCTTTTTCCTATGCTTTTTTAAAATCACATGAGAAGAAGACATCTCATGACAGAAATTGATTTTTTTCTAGAGAAATTGATTTTCCTATTCTTTTTCAAGAATAATGTGAAAATATTCAAAAATGTTGAATTAGTAACCAGTTTCTCTAATATGAAATCAATTTTAAAATTCTGTATCAGAATTTAGAAAGAAGACGTCTAAAACAGAAGAAAAAAAACAATATGGCTTAAACAATGCGATGAAAATGATTTTTTTTAATAGAAAAAAAATGTTTAGCAATGAAGATTAAGCCGGTGAAATGTGAATGATGAGAAGTGAACAAAAGTGAACAAGAAAATTTGAAATTAAATCCAAACAATTGGATTCATAGGCTTTTGAATAATAATTAGATTATAACCAGATTATAACTGGATCCATTCGAATGCATGGCCAAGAATGCATGGTCAATAATGTATAAATAAATCAATTGATGAATTTTTTTACCCAAATAACTCAGCTTTTGAAAAAAAACCCAAAATAACCCACATTTCAAAATTATTCCCAAAGTACCCCAGTTAGGGTTTGGGAATACACAAGGGCGCCAGATGAATTGGTGGCACCTTGTTAAGGCTATAAAGGAGTCGCCAATTGGTCTGGAGACTCCTCATGCAGTCTCCAATCTAATTGGCGGCTGGGTGTTGTACTTACAAGGGTGTCCCCAATTCATCTGGAGACCCCTTGTATTTTGAATTTTTTTTATAATTAGAGGTGTTTTGATCATTTACTTCCATATTTCGTCTGATATCTTTGTTCTGCTAATAACATGTATCATTGTCGGTGGGGAAAAGTCGTCTATTCGATAGAGAAGCCTCCGATGAACATGTTGTTTTGAAACATACAAAGTTTCAATCAACTTAAGAGGAAGCTTAATCGGTGGTTGGAAGGAGACATTGGTGAAGGGGAAAAGATTCGTAGTATCAAGAGACTTGATTGGCTGCGTGGATGAGTTCGTGTTAAGACCGACAAAGATGCGAGGGAAGTCATGTTTGGACCGAATGAAATTAGTTTGATTATTGTAATCAGTTAGGAATATCGTAATCACCTAGTTAATGTTTTATGTTTTATGAAATTAGTATGTGTTGTGTGTTGCTAGTCTTGTTTGTTGTTAAGACCGTTGTAACAAAGACTCATCAATATATGAAAATATTTGGTTACAACAAATGAAACGATAAGTTAAATTATGATGCAGATGTGCCTCCGACATTGGGACATTTTTTTCGGTTGTGTCCGGACTGACGACATATCCTGCACAATCTTATCATTTTATCAGCCGTATCCATTTCGGTTCTTAAACGCTTACTGTTTGGGCGTCCATTTTTCTTTCTTCTCATATCATCATTATGCCAAACTATGTTACCTTGGTATGAAGGCCAATAATCCTCCACTGGTAGCACTGCGAAGCCTTCGTTGTATACGTTCATAACATTAATCGCCTTGTAGACATCAGATAGATAGCCATAAGTATCCTAATGAGCATGTGTGCATGCCACAATGACATGTGAGTAAGGTACACGGAAGACCTAGTACTTGCCACAGTCACACCAACATCTATTTAGTCTGACGGCATATGATAAATTGAGTTTCCCCTCATTATGGTCCATTGTGTCTTGTACACTGAATGTTTGCCTATGACGATCGAAGACTGTAACTGCATGTGTACTGGCTCTAATAGTATCCTTTTTCATCAATTTCATAATGCTTTCACTGAATACCTGACTGGACGTTAACACTGCACTCCATATCTCACCTCTTGTTGCGAAAAGTGATGCCAACCTATAATATGTTGATCTCACCAAAGTGGATATTGGAAGATTTCTAATTCCTTTGAATACCTCGTTCATTGATTCCGCAAGGTTTGTCGTCATGTAACCCCAACGACATCCACCATCAAAAGCCCTTGTCCACTTTTCGAGTGGAATATTGTCTAACCAGCTTCCGACATATGCATTTGACATCCTAATTTCGTTAAGGTAGTATTGAAATGCTGGTTGAGTTTGAGCATACGCGGCATTCACAACTTTTTTGCGAAGGTTCTTGTCTTTGATTGCACACATGAAGTTTTGTGCAATATGTCTAATGCAATACACATGGGTAGAAGAAGGATTATGCCACCCGTTATCATAGTTATTGTATGCACTCTCTATAGCAGCATGTCTGTCTGAAATCAAACCGAGGTTGACTTGTGGAGCGACATATGTTATGAGATTCTTAAGGAAGAAACTCCAAGCAGAAGCAGTCTCATCCTCAACTAGAGAAAAGACTATGGGAAAGACGTTATTGTTACCGTCTTGTGAAACAACTATAAGCAAGGTGCCCTTATATTTTCCGTAGAGCCATCTTCCATCAATTTGAATAACAGGTTTGCATAATGCAAAACCTCTTATGCATGGTTGAAACGACCAAAAAAGACGGTGAAATATGACATTTCCATCAACAGTTGTTCCATCTGGCCTACATGCATGCATTGTCTACATGATTGCAACAGTCTCTAGTGTGTATGGGGTTGGTCTAAATTGCCATCTGGCCTATTGTATTTACCTTTATTGAGAAACCTGACTAAAACAAGAGAGTATAGTTGGGGTTCCGCTTGTCTGTCTTATTTATATAGCTCTTTATGTAAGTGCACAAAAAAAAAACACATCTACTTTTTCTAGATGCACCGTTTTGCTCAAAGCATGGGGTTGGTCTAGATTACCATCCCTAGTGCCCGTCAACCACAACGAGTTTTCCTTCCTGTATGCACAAAAGTAAGTTCCTCACTTAATCTTTGTTTATTTCACCTTAATAATTATTCTTTCTAACTAATTGAGTTTGAACTGTTTTTGGTTTAGATGGTCGGGTAAGGGTATGACTTACAATAGATGCTCTAGACATTGTATCATTCAATACTGCAATTTATTGGATCACCTAACACCTGCAGATGTAAGGCCTCTAAACTACATCAATTTGTATTTTATATCAACTATTTAATGATCTACTATAATTCTCTTCTTCAGTTCATATGACGTCCATATCTAAACATGGAACACCTACATGAAGTCAGACAGGAAGATGTTGTCGTTTGAACTGCATGTGTCCCGATCATCAGATTCACAATTGTGGAGATGTACAACAGTTACCGTGTCAAACTACAATTTGGAATGCATCAAAACATTCCAAATCCTCCTGCTGACATCAGTAAATAGCATCTAAAAAGAGTTAATGATTAATGAGAATTTCCCGACTGGAAGGATTTTGCAAAATCTGAGCGTCGTAAATGGATGACCCGCAGCGCCCATGTCTCACGTGACCTGGTGATGGCAACACCATCTATACCAACTATTAATTATATGGCTTGGTACAGATCGATTGCAATTGAGTTTGTCTCAGAAAATAGATATTTATACGATCCACGTCAAACCACCTACACACAAGACGCTTCAACGTCTAACCCACCATAAAGGCCATGTTACTCACAACCCCTACCCAACAGAGTTACCAACCCATTCACCATCCAAACATCAGGCGTGAGTCAACAACGAGGGAGACAAGCGCAACGAGTTAGGGTGTCTAGGGAATGTGGAACCGGTGACCGGTATGACCAACTCGGTCGCGAACATTAGTTTATGTAATATTTTTTTAATTAATGATAACATTTATTTTTCCCTTTGACTTATTTTATTAATTATTTTTTAAAGTATTTATTTTAAAAAAATTAAAATACAAATGGTTTTCAGATGAATTGGCGACACACCTTTATAAGTACAACACTCAGTCGCCAATTGGAATGGAGACTGCATGAGGAGTCTCCAGACCAATTGGCGACTCTCTTATAGCCTTAACAAGGTGTTGTCAATTCATCTAACACCCTGGTGTAATCCCAAACTCTAACTGAGATATTTTGGAAATAATTTTAAAATGTGAGTTATTTTAAAATTTTTTTAAAAAAGTTGATTTATTTGAGTAAAAAATTCTCAATCGATAACTGTTTAATTATATTCGAATAATTAAAATAAATTTGTATATGATTAGATATTTTGGAAATAATTTTAAAATGTGAGTTATTTTGGAATTTTTTAAAAAAAGTTGATTTATTTGAGTAAAAAATTCTCAATTGATAACTGTTCAATTATATTCGAATAATTAAAATAAATTTGTATATGATTGTGAATTTGAATCTCATAACCACATATTTAATACGCCCCTAGTTAGAGGGGCCTTAACATGGCTTCAGAGATAGCAAATAGCAAATATGATCCTTCTCTATAAATTCAAAATCAGTAAGATTTGATTACGAACTGAGCATTGTTATTTGTTATAACTTTTCTAACCTACTAGACAAAAAACAATAGAGTTTGTTCTCCAAACCATTCTGGCTATGGAAAAAAATAATATCAGAGTACTTTAATATTAAAAATATACTGTATATGCACAAAGCCTAGTATATTAAAATTAAATTTAGGGCCTATATTCTTTATTTTATTTTATTTTATTTCTGACATAACAGATTTTACTCCTGTAATGCTCAATAGGCATGCAGTGCTTAATTCAACAGTGTATATTTCAGCTTCAAACCATATCACCATTTAGCTGTATATTTCAGCTTTGAATTTGATTTCCGGACCGCGAATATCATCCTGGCTCTGAATTAACCTGATCTCTAAACTGGATGATTTGGGATCATGTCCAGCAAGTTTGTAATCATTAAGTGTCCTTTGCAAAAGTGCCTGCATACATTGTGATTATTCAAATCTCAATCAATATCCTTGCATTATAAGCAAGTCATAGGAACAGTCAAAGCCAAAAGATAACCAATGATTCCACAATTAGATGGAGGAAGAAAAGAACAAGATCAATGGCACGCTTAAAAAGCAAGTACCTGTAAGCTTGAAACTGCAAGTTCCGCAGCCTTCTCAAAATTGTCTGGGTGTTTCTGGAATGAAAAATTCACATTTTAGGTAAATATTATGTAATGAGAAGGAAGAATTATAAGTAAATTGACATTACATTGCTCCAACCGAGAAGAAGCGCAGTCATGAGATCTCCTGTTCCCTACCAGCATAAAAACAAAGAACATAATCAAAGCTAATGTTATTGATTATTTCTAAACAGAATAAGAATGGCAAACTTATTTGAATTGAATAAATTTGTAAGCCAATTTTGTTGATTTGAAGATTTCTATGATGGAAATTTGTTCTTGTTTTTTGGATAGCACACCAAAAAAAACCTTTTACTTCCTAATAAACACCATAGTATATGAACAAATAGCAACTAAGACAGTATGGAGTGTTTATGTGTGAGTTTTTGTGTTTGGAAGACAGCAATGAAGCAGGCAGGGCATCATGGATAGCTGAGTATCAAAGGAGAAATTTGTTGGTAGGAGTAGCTACTCTGCAAAGTGATTGAAGGAAGGTTTTGTCTTGGCATTATAGTTGGAGGGGCTGCGTGAGTAAAAGGACATAGATTTAATTCACAAAACCAGCTTTTTGCAAATACGCATGACATGATAAAGTTAGCAAAGTGGTTAAGTGATAAATATGTACATTTTCTTATCATTTTTTAGTTTTGATGGAAATTTTAGGTCAAAGGAAACCTTGTTGCCCTTGTATTTTTTCCCCAAAGAAATCAAAGCAACGGTCTTTATTTGAAATGTACACACTGATGAGTAGGAGTACATACAACTCTGGCCAATTTAGGGAAATGATCATATGTGAGTGATAATTCATATAGACTACAAATACCATAAACATAGGTTCAAGTGGGATTTCATCCCTTTATGGCTCCAAATGAACGCTGACTCATTTTTCTTTTGGATAACATTGCAAAAACGAAACCATAAATTTATTTAAAAAAATCATATTTCATACCGTAAAATAAGCTTCTATTTTGGGGATTGCAATCTTAAATTGGTTGGGAGTTTGTCCCTGCAAAGAAAAGGTAATAAAAATTTATGTTAATATGAACATATAATTTATAAATATAAATTGCCGAGTATAATTATAAATATAAATTGCCGAGTATAGAAAGTTAGAATTGTCAGTGAAGAGTGTGCATAAGTATAGACTTTGGCACTTCATACTTTAGTGTTATTGCTGTGGTTACCATGTGTATTGACATGTGATTTACACTATTAATCATATACCTAAAATTAGAACAAAAATATTACCATTTATAACAACATTATACGTGACATTTATCCCACCTTTTCCTTTAAACTGCTGCCAATGAGGAGAAGTCTCCCATCTATATTTATACTTGTAATAACAACCTGAGCATTAACATACATTAGCTAAGTGAGTGTGAGAAACAGAGCATAAGCAAACATTAGTGATTATAGACTAGTTCATTGTGAATTGTGACATTAAGTTTAGACAATTTCTTGGCATAATCAAAAACAAATTTTTTAGAATATCTAATTTGAGAAGAAACAGACATGGGTCAACTCTCTTGATGCAGCCATATGTGTAATTCAGATTCAAGCTTTAGTTTTCGTGTGTGCAAATGTGCTTAATGGTCATTGCTATCTATGTATCACTCATTATTTTAAAAAATTAAAATCCATAATTTTTATGAAGCCAAGAATCCAACACATGAGATTTAAAGCAAACCTTTGAAGGTCCAACTGCATGAAGTAAGTTACAAGCTTCTCGACCATCTTCTTCCGACTGAATTCTGTCATACGAATCATATTTCTATCAGAATACATAGAGGGCGTCCAACAAACATAATAAATAGACAGAAATATGAGTCTTACAATCACAGCAGTGATATGAAAATATAAATTTTTTTAAAAACATAAATATCTTCTAAACCCAACATGTTATTATTTATATATAGAAAATAATATTTCAATAATGTGCTGCCTTCTAAATATGAGGATATTCCAAGGCCTATGGGTGTAATGTTAGCTCCAATCCTGATTAGTTCCATAGCAATAAATGCTCACATACATTAGCACACATGCAGCATCCTGCTAAAAACTAACAAGAACTTTTTCTCTCAATTTAGGCAGTATCAAAACTGCCAAAGAAACACATTGCATGCAACGTGCAAAAAACAAAGATATCCATGTGTATGATACGAGGGCATTAATAAAATACTATTGAGGGACTAAAAGGACTATGTTTTTGTATTTTTTAGGACTAAAATTTTATGAAATATTTGTAGGGACTAAAATCAACAAATTTCCAATTTGATTGGGACTAAACATATTTAACCTCACAATCTTTTATGTACAAGAAAAAAGAAAATCATATGATGTCATCTATACTGTTATATCCTGAGAGATTGAACACAATTGCATGTCAACATATGAATTTGCTTATAATGTATGCACATCATACAATAGCAATTTCCAAACAGAAAATTTTTTAAGTAAAATTAATCAAGGATCAGGGTATAAATTACCTGAGTCCTGTCAGTAATTCTGCTTCAAACTGGTTGGGAGTCAACATTGAAGCCAGTGGAACAACCTGTTGAAATGTGCGTTACTGAGATATCAAAACAAGTGTAACATTTAAATGGGCCAGAGATAAGAAATGTATGCTTGTGTCATGTCGTCTCATAAATAGGAACCCAATAACCATGGATGAAAATCTAATTTCAGTTATGGATAAATAAATTTGAGTTCCATATGATAACTTAGCTGGAGAAGTTCATGTATGGTAAACTTGTTACATCATGTATATTATTTACACATATACACTTGCAGAAACATCTTTTTGGATCAGTGGTAACAGTCTTACCCTCTCACGGTACACCGTCACCAGCTCTTCTGGAACGTAAAGCTTTCCTTCGTCACCCAACACTGGATCACATACTGGCAAAGAAACAAAACACATATGCATAAGCAATTTTTCTTTAAATACAAGATAAAGAAAAACTTCTGTGAAGATTGACACCCAAAAAACGAAAAGTATAAAATCATATTCCGCAGGCTTTAAGTGTCAATGCCTACTAATGATAACAACAATAAAGAATGAGGGTTGAAACTTGAAACTAAACATAATCAGAATATATGGTTCAGTTCAAGCAGCTATATAATTTTCGTGGTTAAATTTTGTTCCTAAAATGGACATATTCTGAACTAATAACCTCTAAGTTAGACTTAGACCAAATCAATGTCTCAAATAGAACTTAGCCAACCCATTAATCAGAAATCTCACCATATGTCAGCTTAGGGTTTATTGAGCGAAGCTTGGAGACAACATCCAATACAGTCTTGAGAAAAGAAACTGAACCAATATAACCTGAAAATACATGAGTTAGACTTAGATCCATAATCAAAATAAGAACAATTTTGAAACACAAAATCTGGAAGTTTAGCGACAATATCACAATAGGGCTATAAGAATAGCACGTAACATATAATTTCTATTAAGGGTGGCCCAGTGCATGAAGGCTCCCAACAGGTGGTGTCTGGGGAAGGTAAATGAACACAGCCTTACCCACCTAGTGGAGAGACTACTTCGAGATTTGAAACATAGTTTCTAACACCAAAGAAGATGTAGTTGCAGGATGGTAAACAGGTTATAAATAGTGGATTGTGGAAAATATTGAAATGCCAAAATTCGGCCATGTGAAATAGCAGAATAGCGCTGTAAGCAAATAGCAGAATAGCGTTGTGAGCATATAGCAGAAGCCACATAGCGGTTGAAATAAGTCAATTATATATACATATAAAGGCACCGTGCATAAAAATAAAAAAGGAATGGAGGCTGAACATAGCTTATATATATAGAAAAGATTATGTATTATCAAATATAGGAGTAATCCTCACTGACTCTTCAATATTTATATTTATAAAAATAACTCATTTTCCACACACATGCAGAATCTTCAGCTATATCAATTTAAAAAATAAAATAAAAACTAAAATTCTTTTTTTACCACTATTGCCGATATATCTGCTAGTAGAAACTGGAATATCAACCACTATTTCCCAAATAACGAAACTAGGATAGCGTTGCGGTTTTTTGTAGAAAATTCATCAAAATCTGCTATGCTATAGTGCCGCTATTTGACAACACTAACGGAAACTTCAAAAATTATAAAAACACTAAAATTCTCTTTTTTATGCTTTTGCAGCTATATCAGCTAGCATAAATTGAAATGCTGGCTGCCAATGCCCTAGTAGTGAAATTAGGATAGCTATAGTGCCAGTGTGCCACTATTTGACAACAACACTAATGAAAACTTCAAAAATTGAAAAACACTAAAACTCTCTTTTTTGCGCTATTGCGGCTATATCAGCTGGCATAAATTGGAATGCCGGCCACCATTGCCCTAGTAGTGACAGTGCTGCGGTTTTCATAGAAAATTCTTCAAAAATCCGCTAAACTATAGTGCGGCTACTTGACAAAAACACTAACGAAACTACAAAAATAAGAAAACACTAGTGCGGCTATTTGACAACAACACTAATGGAAACTACAAAAATTAAAAAACACTAAAGTCCTCTTTTTTGCACTATTGCGACTATATCAGTTAGCATAAATTGGAATTCCGGCCACCAATGCCCTGGTAGTGAAACTAGGATAGCACTGCGGTTTTCATAGAAAATTCTTCAAAAATCTGCTATGCTAAAGCGCCGTTATTTGACAACACTAATGGAAACTTCAAAAATTAAAAAAAAAACACTAAAATCCTTTTTGCGCTATTGCGGCAATATCAGATAGCATAAAATCGGAATGCCGGCCATAATTGCCCTAGTAGCAAAACTAGGATAGTGTTGTGATTTCCGTAGTAGTTTCATCAAAATCCAATATGCTATAGTGATTCCGCTATTCGACAACACTAGACTAAATAAAAAAATTATAAACCCTAAAATTATCTGTTATTTCACTACTTCCGCTCTATCGACTAGCATAAATTGGAATACCGCTATTTTCCTAATAGCGTAACTAGGATAGCATTGCGGTTTTCATAGGAGATTCATCAAAAGCCGCTATTTTACAACACTAATGGTAACTTATTCTTTTTTTCCTCACTATTGCAGCTATATCAGCTAGCATAAATTAGAATACCAAACGCTATTTCCCTATAGCAAAACTAGGATAGCAGCGTGGTTTACGTAGCAGATTCATCAAAATCTGATATGCTATTTGACAACACTATTAAAGGTAACTTAAAACTTAATATTAAAAAACCTATAACTCTTTTTTCTCCACTATTGCTGCTATATCAGATAGCAGAAATCGGAAAGCTGACTGCTGCTATTGCCATAATAGAGAAACTAGGATAACATTGCGGTTGTAGTAACGTATTGGTCAAAATCTGTTATGCTATAGTGCTGTCACTATTTGACAACACTAATGGTAATTTCAAAATTAAAAAACAATAAATAACAATAATTCTGAATGAGCTATACTTTTTTATAGTTGCCAAACACATAGGGATACGATTTTCAGTTCACTTCGTAAGGGAATGCGATACATACAGTTCACAATTAAATTAATACAGACATGAAACTCTATAACATCATAAATAATAGTACCTGTTAATAAGTGAGTGTAGTACAATAAATCATTAGCTTCAAGACCTTCAATAAGTTCCCAGAGTTGCTGTCCATTTAAAACCTGGCCCTTGAATGATGGATATCCTACACAACCCTCAAATCTATCATATAAAAATTTCACTCTCACTTAAAAAAAGGAAACCTTTCCAGATAACCTCAAACTACATGTATCAGGTCTGACACTCCCAATTTTAGAAGATGAAGAAACAAAAGAGGCTTGCATATGAAACGCCCGAATGAGATTGAGAACGAGGTAAAGGGTTTAAACTCTAACTATCAACATACTCCACTAACAATCTACCTAAGCACTGGACACTTCATATCGTTGGTGTCTCCACTATCGGAGACTGACACGTGGTTACATTTAATCACTTTCATTTTCTTCAATTATTAGTGGTGCATGTGTATACATGTGTCAAAATCTTATGTCCATGTTTGTATGCTTCATAGCTAACCAACATCGACACCTCTGAAAAAAGACACATTGACACTTGTGATTACATTTAATTTATTATTTTTTCAAATTATTACCAGTGTCGTCGTGTCAGTGTCGTGTCCAGGGTGTCCGTGCTTCATAGCTAACAACTAGCATTTGTCTATACAAAAAATAAAGAAAACTTACCTGTGTGATTGGAAAACTGCACAGAATGAATTGGATCCACATCAAAGCCCAAAAGTTGCAGAGGAAAAACAGCTGATTTATTTCCAACATAACCCTGAGAGAGTAACAGCAAATAAATCCAAAATGTCACCACCATACATACTAAACCAACTTAGCCATAACATTCAGAATTCACTCTACAACACAGAACAAACAATAACCTACTTTCGAATATAACCTGAAAAGGTGAATTCTAGCCTATAGAATCAATCAGAATAATTCACAGATTCAAAAGATATACAATATTGAATTGAAATTAAAAAGAAAAACCTGAACAGTGTGAGATTGAATACTGAGTACACGACCGGTTTCGGAAGGAAGAGCTAGAGAGAGAATCGGCGGCGCCATGTATGAATTCCTCCTCCTTGAATCTGAAACCGAAAAATGGAAAGTAAGTAGATGAAAATCGCGTATCTAGCTCGGAATACTGTGCAAAATGCGGACCATGAACACGTGGAGATGATCAAGGAATTCGAAGAGAGAGAGAGAGAGAGAACCGGAAAATAACGAGTTTTTCGAGAAAAGCTTGAACCGGTTGGGATTGTGTGAGGAGAAAGTGTGGAGTATCGTTGCCGGTTGGGTTAGAGAAAGACGAATCATGAATCGAAAGGAGAATAGAGATATTTAATTCGAGTTCAACAAATCACAACCATTGACTAACTTAGATTTTATTGCATATTCACTAATGTCTAGTTGTCAAAACTACTATTTAAATGAGCATCAAAATTCAAATCACCGCTAATATCTTTGGAATTAATCTATAAAAGAGAATATTATAAAATTCTATTACAATGATGTTTATTAAATAATGAGTAAATTATGTGACAATGAATTGTATAAAGATTGCATGAGTGATAAAATAGGTGGGTTCGTCTCTTAAATATATTATTTATCGAATTAAGGTTTATTTCTCCTTTCTGTTTTGTTTTGTTTTTTTCGGACACATATTTAAATGGAATATTAAATTTTGTTTTTGTCAAATTTTAAGAGAGGTTGGGATTATCGATTTTTTTGCGAATGTATATGTTACTCAAAAAAACAAATGATTTGTATGATGGTGTTTTGCTCTCAATTGATGGCTTTTGTGATGTTTTTTTAGATTTTATGTCGTTTTAATGATAGTTAGATGTTTGTATTCTTTATGATAAAATGAAGTATTTAGAAAAAGAGTAATCTAATGTTTGGCATGACAAATATTATTATGTTGAACGTGTGATTATACGAGCAACAAATATGTTTAACTCATGCAGATATGTTTAAAAGAATCAAATGACTTAACCAAATTGAATCCTCAACCAAGTATTCATTAAGAACATCTCTCTTTTGATTCTTTCAAATGTAACGTAGATGGTGTCACATTTCAACAATAAGTTTGTTCAAATATTGAAATATATGTGTGAAATGGTAGTGGTTGTTTTTTTAATGGCTAGAACAGATTGGTGTCACATGAATCTTTGAGCAATATAGTGTGAAGTTTGAGATTAGTATAATGTGCTACAATGGGTTGTGGCAACAGATCCTACAAATGTCATTTTTGAGATGGAACGTAAAAAAAAGTGGTTGATAATATTTATCATGTAATTTATAATAGGATAGAATATGACTTTGGTATTGATGATTGTAGAGATATTTTAAAGAGGTACAATGACTTTAAATGTTGTTTTTACTAGGCCGCAAACTAATGATATTGCTAATATTTTCGAAAGGATAAATATCACTTATGTTCCTCGTGGTGATTTTCATTATTCTTTTAAGTGCATTATGAAATTATTTGACAATAATATGAGTTAATTTTGTTTAAGTTTGGTGAAGGGTAACTTAAATTAGTATAAATTGATGGTCTATAGTTCAATCTTTGAGAACAATATTGTTGTGAATTACGACAAAATTCAATATTAATTTGTGAGGCAAAGAACAATAGCAACCAAAGTAAATGGTCTTCAACAATAATAATCCGTACACAGATAATATAGCAGAATAAAGTAAGAAAAAATTGAAGGTTTGTATACTCAGTTCGATCAAACGATCTACTCTGGGGGAGAGAGCAACTCTCCAATTCACTATACTCAGAAAATTGTTACAAGAGATTACAAATGAGTTACAAGAAAATAACTTTCTCCTTCAGGTTCCCAAGAACAACCCTGAAGGCGTCCAAGAACAACCATATTTTCTACCCAAGTGTTTCTCTACCTTTCCATATGTCATACCTTTAAACCCTTGATCTCCCTTATTGGTGAAAACTCTAAGATTGTCACACACCAAACATATAAGAGATACATATTTATAATAGCAAATACCCAACAAATAAAGCCCAAAATCACATGGATCCATGGATCAAATAGGAAAAAAAGCTCGAAAACTCGAAAACATTATTTACCGTACGGACGTCACTATTCATCCATACGGACGATACTATTCATCTGTACAGACGGTACTATTTACCACACGGATGTCACTATTCACCGGCCAATTTTTTTTCGACTTTCTAAAACTTCTGATTTTCGCGGTAAATGCAATCTCCAAAATATGTTTTCTTTCTCTTCATCAACAAAGGCTTTAAGACACATTACAATAATATCTACCTTGACTTTAGACCGTGTTGATACCAATCAACAACATTGCTGCTCTCTACCAAGTTGAAACTTTAATTAATAACCTTGATCAAATTCAAGTAACCCTTGAATCTTGATCTCACAACTTGAATCCACTTGTTTCCAATTACCCTTTCTGCCTAGTTAACAAGCCTACAAGTATGATTTTTCAGCCACCCTTGACTCCACTTGTTTTCAAATGCCTTCCTGAAGGTTTTTATTCTTTTATTTTGCAGTTTTTCAGCCACATTAAAAACATAATATCCAGGGCTAGCATAATCGTCCCTTTGAGATGCTATAATAACCCTCCTTACCTTATCACGAGTATAATGATAATCAGAGATCTCTGTAACCATTCTCTCACTACTGCTAGCATCCATAGTAGGAAACTCCACCTCAAACTGAGTTTTCTCCGTTATAGTTTCTCCCTTGGTTTTCACTATTCTTCTTCTGAAGAAATTCTTTACCAACCAAGTAAGTTGTTTTAACCTCAACTCTTCCCCAAAAACTCAATAACAACTCAACGGTAACATGCATTTTTATCCCTTGATTTTTGCAAAATTCATTGTACTCCTCTGAAACTTTCTCAAGGCATTCATAACGCCTTAAACTCAAATCTCATAGTTCTTCCTTGTCATGAAAGCCTCCACTAGTTAATGATGAATGAATAATAACATTTGATCCTTCTAAAATATATAGACCACATATTTTAGACCCTTTAGCAATAATCAATTCATCATGCGAAATCTTCAACACTCTATGTTCAACTCTAGTATAAGAGCATAGATCATCAAATATACTTATAGATAACAAATTTCGCTTGAGTTATAGAACATACCTCACATTGTGAATAAGAAGTTCACGATCATTAAACATTTCAAATCTGACCGTACCAATACCATGAACCTTGCATGCCTTATTATTACCAAGGCGAACTACTCCACCTTGCACGATCTTCAAAATTTCAAAGTATTATATCCTTGGACACATGTGATAAGAGCAACCTGAGTCAATGACCCAACTATCTTCAGTTTCCAAAATCGATACTACTAGTGCTTCAGCATCCTCATAACTTTCCTCACCCAATGCAACTACAGCTTGAACAGAATCTTCATTGACCTTTCTTTCAGGACAATCCCTCTCAAAGTGACCGATTTTCTAAGAATTAAAATATTTTACCTTTAACTTGGCAGACCTCTTTGATTTGGACATCCCTTTTTACGCTCACCTCCTCCTCTTGACACATTTAAGCCTTCACCACTATCTTCAATCTTCAAATATTTTGACTTTGAAAATTCTTTGGATTTCACCATCGTCTGGACTTCATCCAAAGTAATGGTATCTTTCTTGCCATAAAAAAGGGCATCCTTAAAATGCTCAAAGGATTTGGGTAATGAATTCAACAGAAGCAAAGCCTTGTCCTCATCATCAATCTTCACTTTAATATTCTCAAGATCATCAATAATTTTGTGAAATTCTGTGAGCTGCTCAACTATGGATTTGTTCTCCACCATTCAGTATGAATAGAGTTGTTGTTTCAGATACAACCTGTGAGTCAAAGACTTTGTCATATACAATGATTCAAGTTTTGCCACATAGCAACCGCAGTTTGCTTCCTGGCGACTTCTCTTAGAACTTTACCCCCGAGGTACAAGATAACGACATTCCTGGCCTTATCCACCATCTCAGTCTTGTGTACTTGTGTAAGTTGCAGGCATCAATGCTTCACTCTTCAAAGCATCGATACACTTTGCTTGAATTAAAATTGCTTGCATCTTAACTTTCCACAACCCGAAATCGTTGTTACTGGAAAATTTCTCGATCTGTCATCTACTAACCATGGTGCTCACTTATCAACAATATCTCTTTGCTCCACGCTCACCGCACCACTTGTTGTGAATTATGAAAACATTCAATATCAATTTGTGAGGAAAATAATAATAGCAACCAAAATAAATGGTCTTCAACAATAATAATTTGTACACAGATAATATAACAGAATAAGGCAAGAAAAAACCGAAGGTTTGGTTACCCAGTTCGATCAAACGATCTACTCTACTCTGGGGGAGAGAGGAGCTTTCCAATTCACTATACTCAGAAAGTTGTTACAAGAGATTACAGATGAGTTACAAGAAAATATCCTTCGCCTTCAAGTTCCCAAGAACAACCCTGAAGGCGCCCAAGAACAACCATATTTTCTACCCAAGTGTTTCCCTACCTCTCCAACTCGCAATATATGAATCACTCAAACCCAATGTGTAATTTAAGATTTTCTTTGTGCATAGCTGAAACCCTATGCTATACCTTTAAACCCTTGGTCTCTCTTGTTGGTGAAAACTCTAAGATTGTCACACACCAAACATATAAGAGATACATATTTATAATAGCAAATACCCAACAAACAAAGCCCAAAATCACATGGATACATAGACTGAATAAAAAAAAGCCCGAAAACTCGAAAACACTATTTATCGTACAGATATCACTATTCATCTGTACAGACGGTACTATTCATCCGTACGGATGGTACTATTCACCGTACGGATGACACTATTCACCGTTCAATTTTTTTCCCGACTTTTTTGTCCGATCTTCTCGGTAAATGCAATCTCCAAAATATGTTTTCTTTCTCTTCATCGACAAAGGTTTATTTGACAATAATATGAGTTAATTTAGTTTAAGTTTGGTGAAGGGCAACTTAAATGAGTATAAATTAATGGTTTAGAGTTCAATCTTTGACAATAATATTTATTTATATTTATGTATTAATTTAAATAATTTGTTGATATTTGTAAATAAATGATAACTTTTTTAAAAAATTAGCTTCAGTAAGAAAAATAAATGCATATATAAAAATTAAAGATTTAAAATTGTTATATGTTAATGTGAGATATTGAATTGAACTCTAGTATGGTCGAAGTCTGTTTGCGAGTAATGTGTGTTGTAGTCGAAGTTTGCTCTAACATGCCTTAATCAATATTGTTAGGTTTGTTAGCATGTTGAATTGGG